CTCTTTAACAAATGTTTCTGGAAAAAACAGTATATGCATATTCACAATAATGAAACTAGACCCCTATATCTTGACACATGAAATCAAATCAAAATAGATTTAAAAATTAAAGACCTCAAACTATAAAACTACTACAAGCAAACATTAGGAAATATCTTCAGGAGATTGAGCTAAGCAAAGATTTCTTAAGTAATATCCCACAATCGCAGGCAAGCAAAGCAAAAAATGAACAAATGGGATCACATTAAGTTAAAAAGCTTCTGCACAAGAAAGAATAAAATCAACAAAGTCAAAAGAAAATCCAGAATAAGAGAAAATATTTGCAAACTACCCATCTGACAAGGGATTAACAACCGTAATATACAGGGACCTTAAACAATTCTACAGAAAAAAAAAATTCTAATAATCTGATCAAAAACGGGCAAAATATTTGAATAGACATTTTTTAAAAGAAGGCATACAAATGGCAAAGAAGTATATGAATAGGTACTCACCAGCACTGATCATTATAGAAATGCAAATAAATACTACAGTGAGATAGAATGCCATTCCAGTTAAAACAGGCAATAGCCAATGCTGGAGAGGATGTGGAGAAAAGAAAACCGCTGTACACTGATGGTGGGAATGTAAATTAGGACAACCACTATGAAGAACAGTTTGGAAGTCCCTCAAAACATTAAAAATTAAACTAACATATGATATGGCAGTCCCACTGCTGGGTATACAAGCCCCCAAAAGTAAATTAGTATGTTGAAGAGATACCTGCACTCCTGTGTTTGTTGCAGCACTTCTGCACTTCCGTTTGTTGGATTACTGTTTACAGTAGTTAAGTTTTGGAAGCAACCTAAGTGTCCATCAAGAGATGAGCGAATAAAGAAAATGTACATACACACAGTGGAGTACTATTGAGCCATAAGAAAAAAATTAGATCCAGTCATGTGCAACAACATGGGTGCAAAGAATAGTAGGGGGTTGTAGGAGGAGATGAGCATAGTTAATGGGTATAAAAAATAAAAAGAATAAATCAGATCTTCCATTTGATAGCACAACAGGGTGACTATAGTCAATAATAACTTAACTGTACACTTTAAAATAAAGAGTGCAATTGTAGTGTTTGTAACTCAAAGGATAAATGCCTGAGGAGATAGACACCCCATTCTCCAGGATGTGCTTGTTCCACGTTGCAAGTCTATATTAGAACATCTCATGTACCCCATAAATATATGAACCTATTATGTATCCACAAACATTTAAGAATAAATAAATAATGAAATAAAAATTTTATAAACAGAAATTAACAAATAGCATGAGAAACATTCATGTCCTTGATGAGTCAAATTGTAATGTCCTATCCTCGAATATTTTCTTTTTACCCACTGATAAAAAACTGGCTTTTGCAGAAGGTCATTATATATCAAAGTGGTATTATCTCTGGGTTATCTGGATTCAAATCCTGGCTTTGCCACCTCCTATCTTACTGTGGACAAATAGTTAACCTCTCTTAGGCTCAGGTTTCACATTAGTAAACAGGAGATCATTTCACATGGTACTTGTAAGGACTGAAAGACAATGTATAAAGTATTTGGAACTTGATAGTTATTCAATTAATATTAATTATTATTAAATAATCTAAAGCTGGTTTTATTTAGGTGCATGGAAGTGGGCACAAAATATTTATTAAAAACCTTGGAGAATTTTCTAAAAACTTTTTGATGCTGTTTATATACATGCTGAAGGACAAATGATCAATAATATCAATATAATCTCTAAGTATAGACCATACAAATACATTATATAAATATAAAATACCTATATAGGCATATGCTTATACATGTATATGTATAAACTTAAATAATTTTAGTCAAATGCCTAATATTCAAGCTCATATAGAGATAATGAGATTTATATCCTCAACATTCTCCATAAATACTCACTCACCTTCCCTTGAACTGGATACTATGTTTCTGTCTTGATTCGATTTTCTCCATTAATATCTGTCCTTGATTTCTTAACTGATTTTCTCTCTTTTATATAGTAATAACATATTTTGGTATTCTGGTCTATTTCCACCTTGATTACAGCTAATATTGGGCTCTTATTTCCCTTTCTACAATCTAATCTCCCTAAAGCAAGCCCCATAATTTAAAGCATATTTGCATTAATTGGTATCAGTTTGTACAATATTTTGGACAATCTACATTATTAACAAATATTGGTAAATGGATGAATAACATTTCTGTTTTGTCTAGACTCAAATTCCTATAGAACCAATCAGTTAACGACAAAGAAAATGAATGAATCAGGCTAAATGAATGTTAATAAGAGCATTGCAAGAAGTGAGTTGTTGAAATTGTATAATTTGCTTAAAACAGATACAACTCAATCCCTAACCGAGTTCTACAGATTCCCCATAGGAATGTCAGACCAGTGTTGTTAGGTCATCTGATTTCTCAAGAAAGACAAGAATTACTAAAAATAATATTTTTAAATGTTGCAAACATTTGAATGCTTTAGACCCTCCAAAATTATTCAACTTTTGGAACACTATCTTTTATACTACAAACTGTGCTGAGTGAGCCCAATGCTCAAAAGTTTTTTTTTTCTTTTTCTTTTTCTTCTCTTCTTTTTTTCCCAATAGGACTCTGTTGGATTACTGTTTTACCCCAGATTCTCTTTTCTTATAATATCTTCTCACGTATTAAATTCACTCCTACCTCCATATCCCATATGTTCAGATTTGATCCTATAAACAGAGGTAGTCTGGTAACGGATGTCATCACCATTTGACTACTTTCAAAACCAAGTAACTAATCTCATAGCAGGTGGTTGTAGAAGGGAATTTAAGGATGAAACCTTAAAAGATCAAGGAAGATTTTTTATTATCCTTTGACTCAGTGAACAGAACATAGTGTAGGGCAGATGTCATCAGTAAAGGGAAAGGATAGGTTTGAACTTCATGGGCTACAAGATAAGATAGAGACAAAATACATTGTAAAATAGAATTAAGTCTAAAAACAAAAAGTTGGTGAAACAGATTTCTGATTGAGATTGCCAGGGACTTCAACAGCTTCTGTCATCCTGAGTCAGTCATGTACTCATTATGCATGATCTACTGTTGCTAATGGGATACTTTAATCATATTTAACAATCATATTCATTTTGTGAATATTAAATGTAAATATTACTTTTAGAATTATATTTTTCAAATGAAAGTGCATTTTTAATTATCTAAAACAGCTAGCCCGTGTCCATATTCATAAAATGGGACATAATAGCATTATTCATATCACTTCATTACTTTTGTATCTCTATTTCTTTCCAAATATTAAAAAAAAAAATACGTAATCTTTTTCTGAATTTCCTTTACCCTTGAATGTTGAGAAGGGTAAATGTTAATAACTTTGTCAAATTATAATTTTAACTGTGAGAACCTATGTCAATATTAGATCATTTGGAGAATAGCATTTGATTAGACCATATAATTTGATTAATTTTCTACTTCTTCCCTCTTTAATAATTTGAGATTTCAAATTTAAAGAGCATATGTGAAATAAATACAGTCTGCTGATTAAAATATAGTTAATCTCTGTCATGAATTAAAGGAGCAATTTGTTCTTTTTTCACGTTTATTTATTTAATTTTGGCTGAAGGAAGATATCAGTGCTGGAGACCTCATGTCAGGGAAATATTCTCAGCAAAAAATTTCCTGGTTCTGTCTACTTTAAAATAGTTGCCAGTGAGTTCAGAACATTTTGGGGAAATACATTGTATTTATTTTCTGAACACTTTATCTGTTACATCTTAATTTCTTAATATATCATTTTAACACTTTTTATTATTTCAAACCCATGAATTATTTTATGTTAAAGACATAAACTATTTTCAACATCATTTTCTTATTTATGCTTAACCCTTTCTATAAAACTTACATAATCATACAAAGAAATGTTCGTAAACTGAATATATTTGGAAATTACAAAGCAATGGGCCAGGCATGGTGACTCATGCCTGTAATCCCAGCACTTTGGGAGGTCGAGAAAGCCTGGCTAACATGGTGAAACCTGTCTCTACCAAAAAATAAAAAAAATAAAAAAAAAAAAAAAGAAGAAAGAAAGAAACCAACAAACAAAACAAAAACAAAAACAAAAGACATCATTTTTCTTGTCCACATCTTACGACCATATGTTGAAATTTACCTCTTTTTAAATGAGTTATTCATACCCTGTCACCTCTAACTTCAAGACACAAATCCTTGTTTTAAGGTGACTGATGAAAGCCAAAAATCAACTAGCATATAATCATTTTCTTTACCACAATAGATACTTTTTTACTTCATTTTGTAGAATAGCTCAACAGATATTAAACCTAAACTTTACCAGTCAAGACATTGCTACGTCTTTGCTAAATTAAATAAGTTTTTATGAGTCTCAAAGGAATAGAGAAACGTCTGTGTTTATTCTAAAAAACATTTTAATCTTATCCAACTATACTAGGATATGTGGCTTGATTTTGAACTGAGATCTTTTTTTTTTTAATTGCATTTTTACCTCAGCTCCTTTCTTTTTCATTATTGATTTCTTTGACCTAAAGATATATATATTTCATTAGTTTGAGAAAAAAATGGTGCAAAGCTAGAGAGATGAAAAAGCAAAAGTAACTTTGAGAAATAGAAACTGGGCACTTGACTGAAGCAGAGGATGATAATGAATGAATTGTAAGAATTAGTTACAAAGATAATTTTGTGACAAAGAAAATATATGTTAATAATGTGGAGTTTAGGCATAATTCACTAGATGCTGTATATGGAATGAAATAGAAACTTAAGAAAAACGGTGCAAGTTGTGAAAAGTTCCACTTTCTAATGCAGAAGATTGAGTTTTGTCAATTGTACTCAAGTCACCAACGTGGAACAACAACTTATTCATTCAAAGGATCTTATAAATAACTGTGTTAAAATGACATTACCTTAGTTCTGCCTTTTGAAACTAATATTTTATGTGTTATCTAGAAACAAATGCAATATTATCTTTTTTCTCTTCAGTATTTGTTCTATTTTTGTTCTTGTAGCCTGAAGAATTCACGTTCTCCTTTGCTTCAGAAGACTGACCCTGACTAGCTACTTCAATTGCCTTAAACAGAAAATTGAGTAATTAATGAAACAATATGCCATAATGTTAGAAAAGTTACATTAAATAATTATGTTTAAATGTGTACAGATTTTGTTTGTTTTTTTCTGGCTCATGCTCTTTTTTCATAGGGTTTCAAAGAGGCATCAAAGATTAAAACATTTTGGTTATTCTATTGCTTCCAGCAAAGCTTTAAGTTTTTCTCTGAATGTTTCTATATGCTCTATTGATTTGCTATATTTCTTTTCCTGTTGCTTTAACTCCTTTAATAATAGTATGAACTGAAGTCAGAGAAAGGTTTCTATATTTTCCTCTTCAACTCTCAACTTATTTCTACCACAAAGATTTGAAGATGAAATTGTTTCTTCTTCAAATTCAGCATAATCTGAATCATAATATAAAATATAAGAATTTACATTTTATATCATTCCCTTCCCAGGATATGTACCAGCAGCATGGTGTTAATTTTATCAACATCCAAAACTTTAATGAACTTTCACCATTGTCACTTTGGTGAAAAGCAACCTACTAGATAAAAGCAACTGGATTAAATTAGAAAAACATATTTAAGTATTGCTAAAATTGCCTTATGTATAGGTAAATAGATATTCTTTCAACATATATATATAAGTATATATATCATATACTTATATATATTTATATTTAAATACATATATATATACATATATATTTATGTAAATATTCTTTCTTTCATTTTCCATGTGAAGAGTGTAGTGGTAGATGCCTGCTAGTCAGCCTAGGCATGCATGTTCTTTGTTTTCAAATAATTTCTCAATTTAAACAGGTTTTGAAAATTATTTATTAAACTACACATATTTTGACTAAGTAAATCACAACTTCAATTGTGGACAGTCTGAATTTCCTAATGGAGTAAAACTTGGTTTCTCTAATCTAATACTCAAATATACCTGGTAAGCCACAGAGTTCTAAGAAAAGTATGATCAATAAACAATGTTTAGTATTGTGTCATTTTAAGGATATGAACACTACCTCTATAAGGGGGACCAGCTCCATGTCTGCCAGAAAAATTGTTTCAATAGTTAAAAAATATATATTATGTGAAGTGCACTAATAACCTTTACTCTTTTTGCTTGTACCACATGACTTTATTGCTATATGGCTGTACCATAGTATAATTCTACTACTATGATAATATTATATACAATTCTATTGTTATTATTATATTACAGCCAGAATCTTTTTCTGATTACTCAATTTAAGTGAACCAATATGAGTACTGGGACATTAGCTCCCTATAAGCAGTCAAGTTAATTGTAAGTAGTTTTTTTTCTGACCTTCTGTCCTCAGGAACTGTAATCTCTAATTTAATGAGTCTATTTATGTGTTTGTTCATTCAACAATAATGGGTTAGTTGAATCTGCCTGGTAGTCCACATTTCTAGACCAATTACTGATTTATCTTTATTACTGTGAAAATATTAATTTCTCTCAGCTATAGTATAACATAGAGACTACACCTGATGCTGGAAATGTAAAAGTCTAAATCAGTATATTATTTCTAACAACTTCCAAAAATTCTTGCTCCATGGTCTATCTTCCATTTGTGTTATGGTCAATAAACACTTCATGTCTTAATAACCGTCAACTTGAACTAAAACATTTTTCCATTGGGGATTGAGCATTTGTTTCAGGATGGCAAGTGAGAAATTATGCATAGACTTGGAAATAGATAACATGAACCACTGGAAGGTTGCCAGGATGTCATCACAGGAAAAGAAATCTGTGTGGAACTTCCAGCATCAGAAAGTGAAATCATATGACAAACAAAGCATATTTAAAAATTTGAGATACATCAATAAGATTCCTTCGTAGTCTAGAATATCCCAATATTTTCAGGAGGTATAATTGATGGGTCAAAAAGAAAGGGTTTTCAAGGCCAGGTGTAGCGGCTCATGCCTGTAATCCCAGCACTTTGGGAGTCTGAGGTGGGTGGATCACCTGAGGTCAGGAGTTCAAGACAAGCCTGGTCAACATGGTGAAACCCCATCTCCACTAAAAACACAAAAATTAGCTGGATCTGTTGGCACACACCTATAATCCCAGCTACTTAGAAGGTTAAGGCAGAAAAATTGCTTGAATCCAGGAGGTGGAGGTGGCAGTGAGCCATGATCGTGTCACAGGACTCCAACCTGGCCAACAGAGTGGGACTCCACCTCAAAAAAAAAAAAAAAATGGTTTTCATATTATTGGGAAATAATAGATTCCGTATCTTTCTCTTAGAAATTTGCACAACAGATTAGTGAATTAAAGGATCTAAAAACCCTAACAGTGAAAAAAAATAAAGCTCTCATAGTGTTTAACCTAACATTTGTTAAACATATTTGATTGCAGTGACTTTTTCCCCCTTTACCTAGTAACATTTAGACATTTCGTTCACAAAGTGCAGATTAGAGCTAAATGTTTAGCACCACAGAGAATATACGTAAATACTTCAAGACTCTGTAAAACAACTGATTATTAATTACACAGCTTTTTTTTTTTCTTTTACCCTGCAGGATTCTGAACATGGAATAACTGACTGCTAAGAAAGAAAACCACACTGTGTCAAAGCATGTCTCTCACAGATTGTGGTTTCTCTCTCTCCATCTTCTTTGGAACTATGGAAGATATTCCATCTTACCTTAACTAGCCTCACATTTGTAAGGATGAGAATACCTTTCGTGGTGCATAAAAAGTGCTATTTCAGTAATCCTTTATCATAGATTTGAGAAAAAGTCATAGTTTCTCAAAAGAAGACACTTTTCGAATAATCTTTTTCAGATCTCAAAAGGCAGCAAGCCAGAAAAACGTATGATTCCAGAGCACTCCAAATTTCAAGTTAATTAAGTAAATTATAGTGAGAAATATTCTATAATATATTAAGAACTTAGAAAATGAAATGCAGAGATGTCATTATTTATTCCATCTCAATCTATGGAGACACATTTATCTCTGTATTCTATACATATGTTTCCAAGCATAGTACTAGGTGTAAATGTCAAGACAAAACATTCTTTCTCACATTTTAATAGAGAAGTCCAAAAATAAACAAGAAAATAAGTATATACTATGATTACAATATAATAAATAACATATAGTTGTTGTCTATAATATCTACTCTCTTATACATGTGGTCTAACTACATTTAATAGTCTCTACGGTAAAACTTTCTCATGTGTTACTTACCCGTTTATCAGTAAATGCAAATTTAACCACAGCCTATGCATACTGACAATGCTGAACTTGTATTACTTTATATATCACAAGAGTTTTCTATAATTCATCAAACATAAATGATTTGCATAATATGTAATTTACTGATTGTTTTACTTCTTAGCAGAAGTAATTGAAAGATTCCCATGTTTGACTAAGACTTGTACTGTTCAAATCCTCAAACTTCCAGTTTTAAATAGCTCTCAGAATGCTTTTTGGAGATGCTGATTTCCTCCATTTTGTGTGATCTTAATGTGTTGATACGTGTACTATCTGATTTCTTGCTATAGAAGCTAAAGGAACCAAGTCCTAATTTTTCATGCTTTGTTATAGCCATGTGATGGTTACTATTAGGTATCAACATGGTTGGCTTGAAGGATGTCTAAATGGTTGGTATTGTTTCTGGGTATATCTTTCAGGGTGTTGCCAGAGGAGACTGACATTTGACTCAGTGGATTGGAAGAGGAAGACCTACCCTCAATATGGGTGGGCACCATCTAAACAGCTGCCAGTACTACTAGAAGCAGCTTGAGGAGGGTAGCATAGCTTATCTTGCTGAGTCTTCTGGCTTCCTTCTTTTTCCTGTGCTGGATGCTTTCTTCCACTCCTCCTGCCCTTGGACATCAGACTCCAGGTTCTTTATCCTTTGCACCCTGGGACTTGCACCAGTGGTTTGTGGGGAATCTTGGGCCTTTGGTCACAGACTGAAGGCTACACTGTTGGCTTCCCTGGTTTTGAGGCTTTTGGACTTGGACTAAGCCACTACCAGTTTCTGTCTTTCCCAGTTTTCAGACAGCCTATTATGAGACTTTGCCTTGTGATCATGTGAGCCAATTCTCCCTAATAAACTCGTGTGTGTGTGTGTGTGTGTACATATATATACACACACAAATATGTATGCACGCACACACTGACACACACACACACACACATTTTATGGTTCTGTCCCTCTGGAGAACCCTGATAAATGCAAGTTAACTTGACTCAGAGAATCAGATCCTCTCTCCTGGTAGCACAAATCTTTATTGAATAACACAAAGGGGAAGACAAGTTTTGATATTTTTGGCCCAGCTGCTCTGTAATGCTCAACTATTCCAACAACTTGCCCTTGTGTTCTATTTTACATCTTTCAGAGATACCTTGATTACTTAGTATAAAATCTCCAGTAATTCTGAGTTTTCCTCTCCAATAACCCTTTTCTCAAGATAGCCAGAGCTTGTTTCATTTACTTACAACGAACAACCAAAACCCTCAGGCTTAGAAAAGACTCCTGCATTCTGTAATAAATAGTAGGGTAAATTTAGATGCAAAGAGGGAAGTGATAATTATGTCCAGGATATAGGCAAATGATGACAAAGGTATATGTTTAATATTTCCCTAATGAACTAAGAAGTGATACTTCAACATTACCACTGCTATGGCTTAAATATTTGTGTCCCCGCAAAGTTCATGCATCAAAATCTAATCCCCAGGGTAATAATTTAAGAAGTAGAGGCCATTGGGAGATAATTAGGCTATGATGACCCTGTCTGCACCAATGAGATTAGTACCTTTATAAAAGAGATAAAAAAAGAGCTAGCTAGTTTCTTCCACCATGTGAGGATACAGGAAGAAGGTGCCATCTACTAGCAATGTACCCTCACAAGACATTAGACCTGCCAGTAGGTACCTTTATCTTGGACTTTTCAGCCCCCAGAACCAAAAGAAATATCTTTATTTTGTATGTAAACTACTCAGTCTGTGGCATTTTGTGATAGCAGATGGAACAGA